GTGACCAAGATCTATTCTCATCTGCAGGACGGGCAGTGAATGATCTCACTTTCTTCCAGCATAACAAACTCTTACCAAACTACTGTTTATTTGTAGCTTATTAAAGGACCCCAGTAAACCTGCTGATCTGCTTGTTCAGTACCCCAAAGAGCAACAGACTCCCGATTTCAGAGACACATCTGTCCAGTGGCCCGAGAGACCCTTTGAGACGATCGTTCTGTTTCGGTCGATATTTGTTCCAATCCGCTGATATCTGCCAAATCTAAAGAACACCATTTCCTATTCCTCCAGGGTTTGAAAGCAAAAGCGACATTTTAAAAGTCAAAGCAGTGCACAAGAAGCGATAACGTGTTGGTGAACTACAGGAAAATCATTATTAAATTGGTAGGCCACATGAATTTATCTTCTGTCTGAATCCTTTCGCCAGAATGTGGCGAGAAAGCTCATTTCTGAATTAAGGCTAATTTTTCTATCTTGAATGAGCTCATTATGTGCAAAATATTGGCCAAAAATAATGTCTCAGAACAAAAAGATATTAACATAAAGTTGCCTAGCAATGGTGTAGACATCTTTGTGTGACAAGAAAATCAAAGCCAGGTTATTTGAAAGGCCATCGCCGTAATGTGCAAAGCCGGCGCTCTCTACCTTCGTCGTCATAGAAGCAAAGTCTATTTATAAAATATAAAATTTTTTACTAAATGGCACTGACTAATTCTTCTGAAAGGTTTATATGCACAGGGGCTTTGAGGACCTTGCTCAGATGGAAACTCATGTTGATTAAATAACATCAAACGCGGCAGCGAGACCATGTGGAAAATAAATGAACTCATCTATCCATTTGATCAGCACAAGTGTACCATGCAAGTTCTTTTTTTTTTTAATGAGGCTTGCGGTATTCAGATAGGCAAACCCAGAAAGAGGAGAGTGATTGTGTAGGCAGGAAAGGCAAGGCCCCCTCTTTACTCATCCTGCCAGCTGATGTGGGCTAATGGAAAACTGTTCCAACCCCAGGCACATAAGGTGCACTGGCCCTGCTCCCTTGAATTAAACCTTTCAACCCTAAAGATGTCTTTATAGGGCTGTCACTCATTCCTGAAAGGGTTAGCTGGGCCTTTCACTGAAACACTTTTATAAAAGGAACTATAAAGGCCAGATGCAGCAAACATTTATGCCATTACACTGCAACAGCGTTTTATTTTAGTACTCAAAATTCAGGACCCTGGGACATGCGTTGCTAAGCAACCAGTGTCCAGTGTTAGGTAGGAGTAGAATACATATTTCAAGAGTTAATTTTTTTTCAGATCCAAACGATGCAACTCCTTGTGCCGCGAGTCATGTGAGAGCCTGCTGTCTGAAGGCAATGAGCTCAGGAGACCGGTGGAAGGTGGCTGCCTGACTCCTCACTCAGTCTGCTCCTGTGCTGGCAGTGAATGGAGCCCAAGAGCCTTGCTGCACCAGGCCAGTAATCTCCACTGAAGACTTTCACTGCTGCATTTCCCAAAAAGGAGAGAACTGCATCCCTCACTTCACACAGGTCAAGGGGGCTGCACTGGAGAATGTCTAAAGCTGGTGGATTTAAAACTATTTATAGGGTAACTGTGAGCCGTGACTGAACTGGAAAAAAAAAATACAAAAAGGTAAAATGAGATGTGAAAAAACACACAAAATATGAAATTAGATGCTTTTAAATGAAAAGTTTATGGAAACAAGGCAAGTCTAATACATGGATTCCAACTAAAGACTCTGCTGATAAACAAACTATTCGTTCAAGCCTAATTTTGCTTCTGTCAGGACTCCTATCATGTGTGCTATTTCAGAACAGTTAACAGCTGTACAATTAAATCTATCGTCTAGAACTAAACTGATCCATTTTGAATCCCATTTGTCAAAAGCCTGACACTTTCTAGGACTGGAAGGGAGCAGACTAACATTAAAGTTTGAGAAGATTGTACCTCCAATGTAATATTTATGAACCCTTTTAAATCTAGATGAAGACAAGGGATGACTACAGTAAATGCTAGACTACAAATGTAATTAACCTCTAACCCAAGCAACAGCCATTCCCTATAGCCTTTGCAAATCCACCTTTACCATCGATATTCCAGCAGGCCTCGGGCCTGCCCTCCAACAGAACTCATAGGACACAGGCTGTGGCTCAGCCTCATAAATCAAATCATGGGAACTCCTGCAGCTGAAGCCTTGCTTTTTGAAGTTTTGCTCTCGGTCTCAGTCAGATCAACTTCCTGTGATTTATCCTTATTTTCCACCTGTCCCCGAACATCACGAACATAACCTCTTTTCCATAACTCACAAGAAAGACAGGTCTAGCCAGAAAGGCAGCTGTAAATAACGGGCACTGTGCTGGCGAACGCTGCTGGCCCCCTGAACTGTGAGCAAAACCGTTTCTTCAGTGACGATAGGTCTCTTAATGAAGCACTTCCATTACCTTTCAGTTTCAGAGTTTGGCCTAGTGTACTCCTGTCAGATGTCAGGATTTTTACAAAACATTTTTGGGGGCAAAGAATAACAACTGTTTAGCTGGCCGCCATCCGGTCAGAGGGGACATCGGGCTGTGGAAAGATCAGCAAGCATACGATACCAAAGATGTGGATCTTGATTCCGATCTTCAGGGAAATTCCATGATTAGAGCAAGAGCTGTCAAACCTCAATTTTTCACATTAATAGCTTTCTTGCCGGAGTCAGTCCCCATTCCATTTCTCTGGAATCAACTTTCTCAAATGTTTTACATAAAATGTCAGGATTCTCAGTTTCAGCTATTCATCTACTGCATGCCCTTGTTATTGGAAACACTGACGTCACTATGTTAAAAAAGCACCAAAAAAAATCACACTGCAGCGAAAAAATGATCTCGCTCAATAAGGTAAGAGGAGACCAGGCAAGAACAATCACGTATATCCTCTTACTGACCATAGACTGGGGCGGATCAGTGACAGCTACACCAGTCAAACCTGAATAATCGCCAGCATATTAATTAGGTTTGATTCATCTGATGATCATTTTCAGTTATGTAACATATTATTTGTTTGGCAAAGCCAGCAAATTACATCTATACTAAATCATCTTACCTAACATGGAACACACAACCCAAAATAAACAGAGATTTATTTATTTTTTTTATAAGTGTGCGAGACACATTTTTGCATTTTACTTGAGACGCTCATAAATACTCACATTCCGTGCCTGAATCCTTGAGCTCGTTACAATTTCAAACAAATTCCCAGTCTAATTAAAAAGAAAATAATGCGTTTTCCCCAGCCAGATACAGATATCTACCCCACGGCAGTGCCCTGACTCTATGGGGAGAACACTAATCATGTCATCACATTCACACATGGAAGAGAAAGAAAAGCACCATTTAGTGGAATAGCAGCCTGTAATTACATGGCTTCCAGAGCTGTGGCTTTGTGGTACACCTCAACAATGCCAAGAAAAGCAAGAGGGAACTAATGAACTTGGAGCTGCATTTTGAGCGTTTAAAATGTATAGAGCCTCATCTGTCTTCATTCCTCACTTTCTCTTGAACTTGGAACGCCCCGTGCAAATGTCTCCTTACCCCGGCGACCTGCAGGCCCAGGAGAACAGAGGAGGAGATGTGGGACGACCTCCCACGTCCTCTACAGGCCACAGCCAGAAGACACTGAAGGGCTCTCCGCCCA